GTATCACAGACTTCTCATGTTCTAGGCTATATGAGTGATTTTCACTAGAAGGGCTTATGAGGAATTGTCATCTGAATTGATAACAACCAGTGGTGTCCATCAGGGATGTCCACTTTCCCCTTTTCTGTTTAACTTCATCATAGATATGCTAATGGAGGTATCCTTAACTGAACTTAACGAATTAGGAATCGACTTGTTACCAGGGAATAGTCTTATGGACTTAAAATATGCAGACGACATAGTCCTGTTAGGGGAGGATGCTGACAAAATAGAGCAGAGTCTTCTGAACACCTTGAGGAGCAATCTCCGTATGTTTGGCATGCGATTCGCCCTTGTAAAATGTAAGATGCTGCTACAGGACTGGACTGCGTCAACTCCTAGCTTCGTGATAGGGAATGAAGTGATAGAACATGTTGACCACTTCACCTATTTGGGAAGTTGTATCAGCACCGACGGATTGATTGGTGACGAAATTTCAGCACGGATCCAAAAAACTCGGGCTGCTTTCGCTACCTTACACCATCTCTGGCGTAGGCGTGACATCCGACTATCAACCAAGGAACGTGTGTACTGCTCAGCAGTTCGCTCCGTCCTTCTCTATGGCTGGCTCTGAAACATGGCCAATACGAGTTGAAGACATGAAAAGGTTGACTGTTTTGGATCATAGATGTCTACGATCTCTTTCTCACGTTAGGTGATATAATGAGGTAAGTAATGTTGACATTAGGCGTATAGTGTTGGGTAAAGAGGGAAAATCAATCGAAGAGGCTATAAAGTTACATAGATTGAGATGGCTAGGTCACGTGCTGCGCATGCCTAATCATCGCCTCCCCCACCCCGACGGGCATTACTAGCTGATGTAGGTGTTGTGGGTTGGAAAAGAGTAAGTGGTGGCCAAACAAAACCATGGCATCAATCAATCCATGAAATCCTTCCTTGACAGTTAAACTGAGTCAGGTAGGGAGATTCAGACTTCCGGGTTGGTTGGGGCCCTCGGGACTCTAAGAATCAATGGGTGGAGACAATAGGTGACATGGCTCAAAATCGTTGTCAATGGCTTACGCAGATGTATTCAGTCTCTGTAATATTCAGTCTCATATTCCTTTCTACCATTACTCATTCTGTTTCACTCTTATACTTCAAGACTCTATTGATTCTCTTCACTCATTTTCTTGTCTACCTTTGTGTGCTCTTTTGAAAGTGGCAACTGGAACTGCTGCACTTCGGTGCCAAGTTCTATGTTGAATCCAGCCAGATGCGTTCCTCTGATAGAATCCAAACGCCCAAGTTCAGTCTGATACTGAGTTTTCAACGTTGGACTTCGCCCAAAAGTGCAGTATTTCAACTTCCTGCAATGCATATATAGCAGATTTCTCCTTGGAGTACCTAGTAGTGATCCAAAAGACAACTGCTTGAAACGGGTCACATACGGCCTGCTTAAAGTGGCTGTTGGAGTTGTGTCCGTAATAAGTAAGGTCTTATCGCTGCAAGATAAGTTGGGATGTACAATATTCTGAGTTGACCTATTCTAACCACCCCCCCCCCATCCTTCTCCAGAGCTGTGAAGTAGCATATTTGACTTGCTGGTTATCTGAGGGGAACACCTTGGTGCTATTACATCCCCACTTGCTCGCAGTACAACTTCGCCTACAGACGTTCAGCATAGTGTAGACGACTTACAAAAACATTAGCTCCAGGCAGTGTAGCTATTTGGATCATTGTGATATGCAAGCGTTATAAACCATGTTAAAGTTAAAAGTTACTGGTCGGGACTCCATACAGCATGCAATACTAAAGAGAGAAAGAAATCCATATGAACTATAACGTAAAGGAGAAAGACTACGAATTTAATGAATCTAGAAGTTCATAAAGAAGGAGAGTGCATCCACATGTTTTAGAGAGAGGTTTTGAGTCATGTCAACAACTGTCTCCAATCATTGATCCTTTACACATCTTAGGGATCTGAGCCAATTGGTAGTCTACACCTCCTTATACAACTGAAACCAACAGTCGAACACTTTGTGATGATATTAGATGGTTGGAGGCAATCGGCCACAGGAAGCCTTGGCTACACCTAGGTTTCGTGCTAGTTGGCACTCACCAGTCAGCAAGGCGTATCTGCAACCTTGAAGGAACTCATGTCCCTTCTGAGATTCGAACCCGCGTCACCCAGTGCTGCAGTCAGAGACGTTGCCACTGAGCTATTCGGGCTCGCGATTTACCTCCTGTAGGACTGTAGTGGATATTTTGATTTGACACTAGTAACTAGTGTGATGCGTCTAGTGACGCGGGTTCAAATCTCAGAAGGGACATGAGTTCCTTCAAGGTTGCAGATACGCCTTGCTGACTGACTGGTGTGAGTGCCAACTAACACGAAACCTAGGTGTAGCCAAGGCTTCCTGTGGCTGATTGCCTCCAACCATCTAATATCATCACAAACAATGTACACCGTGATGGCGAGCTACCTAGAATGGTTGCCACATTACAATCTGACTGATAGAATTCAGTCTGCACCAAAGAGAGGACTAGACGCATCACACTAGTGTCAAATCAAAATAGTCGAAGACTTTATTCACTGTTTTGCTCTAACCATCTCTAATTGTTTTCCTAATTAACCTCTCAGCAGTTAGCATTACTCTTCGAAGTGTATATGTTTAGTAGAGACGCGTGTACTGCACAGTAGTTCACTCTTTCCTCTTCTACAGCTGTAAAAAATGTCTATTGAAAGCGGGAGATATGAGAAAACTGGCTGTCTTTGTACACTGATATTTTTGTACTCTACCTTCCGTGTTAAGCGACATAATATGGTAATATCCAGGTTAAACGTAGAGTGTTAGGTAACAAGCGTAAGTCAATAGCTACATCACTTGTTGTGGCTAGAAAATCCAGAGGCTTCCGTACAGGTCTCTGTTCGCTAGTCCTGGGACGGGATGGAAAAGGCGGAAGGGTGGTCAGTCCATGACGTGGCGTCGTGGGATGAAAGATTTTTGTGCTAGATTAGCATCGGTTTGTGCGTCATGACTCCCTGGTTGGGGTCCGCAAGATAGCTCGAATCGATGGCTCGAAACGTTATCGGATATGGACAAGAATCGTAATCAATGGCGAACGTGTTGCAATTTCCTTCTTTCTTCCCTTCCTGATGATAGTTAACGAATACTGTTTGAACTTGTTAAACATGACTGTTTTCCTTCCAGATGAAGTTCTTTATCCGTTTTCTACTTATATTTTTACTTTTAATCTATGTTGTTTTATTATTATTATTATTGTGTGGCGCATCTTTCTTGGTGCCATATTGTACCAAGTTTTTTTCTGCGTTTAAATAAATAAATAAAATAAAATAAAGAACACCTTCTTCGACGAGCATTGTTACCCGACATTGGATTAAGTTGGAAAAGGGTTAGGCGTGGTGGCGCCAAAATCTGGCATCAGTTCATGACAACTTTGACAGTTGGTTTAAAATGCATAGGATGGTGTAAGGCTGCCACTGAACTGTCATGCTTCTTTTTCATATTACTGGTCTACATGTCTCAAATTTGTGTTTATTATAATGCTTTCGAAACTGTTTTTATTCCTCTCGTTTGTCTACCCATGTATGCTGCATGGAGTGTAGCAACTTGAACTTGAAATTCAGTCAGCTTGTAACGACAGAAGACAAGGGCCAGGCAACAGATCGTTTATTGAAAAAATCAAGAGATATTTATAAATTTTTATGTTCATTATTATTAGCGTTATTGTTAGCAGAGAAGCAAGCAATCTTTTGATTAGTTGTTTTCTTGCTGAAGGTTATTCTGCAGTATTTGTGACCGTTTCTTAGAAAGTTAAGCCATATATCTGCGAATCGTAGTCTCACACGTCAAGTCTGCTGTGATTGGTTGGCGAGTTCCTCAAGGTTAAGCTTTGTTATTGCTTTTTTTCTCATAACCCCCCTTTTGGAACGTAAACGTTGACGTGAATTGTTGTTGAATCCCGGTGGGTGCGTACTGATGAAGAGTCCGAAACTAGGCTGACGAAACAGCTAGCTGTCCAGTACTTCCAGATTTTCCAGTGGTTCTCTAACTTATGTCAGCTCATGACGAAAATCCTGTAACCAATCAACCAAATCCCTACAAACCAACACTTGAGTAAATTGTTATCTACAATTTTGTCTTGCAGACAGCTCTCACCACAACGCTTAGCAGGGAATTTCGTCTAGCTGATTTGTTCAGCTTTACAGTAAAAAGTAGGCCTAGCAATTATTTTTTGTTCTTTTGAGAATATGATTCCAACTTAATAATAATAATAATATGCTTTATTCCAAAACAGTACTTGTGATATAGAATGGAATTCTCAGCACTTTTACTACACTATTGCATCCAGTTAGTACATTATCAATAAATAGAATTCTACATAGATTAAGGAAATCTCAGTTCATTATGACAACAACATATTGGGATGTCGGTAGCAAAGCCAAAGTTGAACAGTGTTTGAAGGTGTTAGAAAAGTAGGTGCTAACATATTTACTGGCGTAAGCGAGAGACAGAAACAAAGTAGCACATAACGGAAAAAAGAAAAAGCAAAAGAGAGAAAAGGAAAAGAAAGAAAGAAAATGTTGTACCTAAAATTGATGTGAGTTGGAAAGACGAGATCCAGTTGTTCTACTGACTATTTAATGAATTATAGGTGTCACGCCCTAAATGCTTTCTTTATCACACAGAACACGAGCTAAATAGGGAATGGTTGAGATTTTGTACTTGCTGATGCGAGCATATAGTTTTCTATATAGGCTTCTGGTTTCGCTTGATGAGATGCAAGGGGAGAGTTGTGAGTGAAGAGGGTGGTGTGAGTTAGATAAAATGGATTTGGCCCATTTTTCATATGAGTCCATGTGCCTGTCAACCAGAATATTAACAAGCTGGTTAAGTAGCACGTTGCTTACCCTTACATTTTATGCTTAATCTTTTATCTAATCGTTTTTTGCCTTCCCCCCCCCCACCTATTTTTTTCCTCCTTTATTACTACAGCTTTTGAAGAATACAAAAAAATCATTATGGCAGCGTAATATCGAGTTAGCATTTGCCTCGATTATTATCGGTATACCTGTACAACTTCTTACTGATTGGAATGAAATTCAACAGAAAGGATATTTTTATGGCTTTGATTGGTTTGTTTGGATAGTTATCCTTTTGCATTCTTTTGGTGGTCTACTCGTTGCTTTAGTTGTTAAATACGCCAACAATATTCTTAAAGTAAGTCTTCTTTTTTTCAGAAAAATGTAAAAATAAGTGTGTGAATTTCTTTTGAGTATGAATTTTAAACTCTCGACGTTTCGATGTCAACCTAGATGTCATCATCAAATTTTCATATGGTAGAGGTATTTTGTTGTTGTCGTGTTCTCGTGCTAATGATGCAAGTGTCATGGGTTCATTCCTCCCCGTCTCCCCTTACGGAGCCATTAAGGCATCAATGGTTCAGCCCGACCGAAAGCTGCCACCTTGACGTGGTGGTCGGACTTGCATATCGCAATGACCCAACGAGCTACACTGGCTGGAACTTATGTTTCTGCAGGTCCTACCATGCCAGGAAGGTTGTTTGGATAGCAGTTAGACAAAAAGCAGCTACCCAATCCAATCCTATGATTTCAAATAAATCACAAAATATCATGCCGGATCGGTCGGGGCCCGGATTAACAACGATAGCACTTCCTGCTGCCGTGTCACAGGGCAGAAGTGATAAATATGCTACTGAGACACACCAAACAAGAAAGAACAAACAAAAACAGGCCTCATGTGACCGGCCTCAAGCAGTTGTCCCCTGGGCTCTGCGGTCACGCAACCAACTTCCACGGTGTGGGCAGCCGGGAAGTAACAATCGCCCTCACAATCCGAAATGCACGCGAAACCTCTCTAATCCTCACTAATCTTTGTCTTCACCTTCATCTCTATTATCTTGCCTTCCTTCTACTAATGCAACTCCTCTACTTGATGGCTCTTCACTTCCTCTTCACTCTGTGTGCACTGAAAACGACGGAAGCCCGGCTATCAACCAAGGGACGTGTGTACTGCTCAGCAGCTCGCTCCGTCCTTCTCTATGGCTCTGAAACATGGCCAATACGAGTTGAAGACATGAAAAGGTTGACTGCTTTTAATCATAGATGTCTACGATCTCTTTCGCACATTAGGTCGTATAATGAGGTAATAATGTTGACGTTAGGCGTAGAGTGTTGGGCAAAGAGGGAATATCAATCGAAGAGGCTATAAAGTTACATAGATTGAGATGGCTAGGTCACGTGGTGCGCATGCTTTACCATCGCCTGCCCCGATGGGCATTACTAGCTGATATATAGGTGCTGGTTGGAAAAGAGTAATTGGTGGCCAAACAAAAACATGGCACCAATCAATCCATGAAATCCCTGACAGTTAAACTGAGTCAAGTCAGGTAGGGAGATGCAGACTTCCGGGTTGGTTGGGGGGCTTGGGACTCTAAGAATCAATGGCTGTCGACAATAGGTGACATAGCTCAAAATCGTTGTCAATGGCTTACGCAGATGTATTCAGTCTCTGTAATATTCAGTCTCATATTCCTTTCTACCATTACTCATTCTGTTTCACTCTTATACTTGTCAAAACTCTATTGATTCTCTTCACTCATCTTCTTGTTTACCTTTGTGTGCTATTTGGAAAGTGGCGACACGAACTGCTGCACTTGGGTGCCAAGTTCTATGTTGAATCCAGCAGCAGTGTCACCGTCACCCTCGAACCAACCTCCAACTCGTTGTTCCCCATTTAGGTTCCATTGGAACACCAACCTGCTACCTCGCGATGCCACTCTCTGGTTTTCTCAGTGTTTATCCAATCCATTTCCTTCGTTATATTTTCTGTCGGCAACAGGTTAATTAGCAACTTCTTTGCACTGTTAGATCTCCTTGTTGCTGAGCCTTTTCAGATGGCCGTCTGATCTTCATTATGGAGCCAACGAAGGCAACTATTGATAGAAGTCTAAACCGTGTAGGGAGTAGTCCCATTGATGCGCGCACCAAGTCTGTGTATCACATAGAAAATGTCTGCCTTGCCTTTCTAATCTCACTTCTGATATTTTCATATATATATATATATATATATATATATATATATATGAAACACACGTTCTACAGTGGAACATAGGGCTTCAAATTACAAGCTTGAAGTTTCTGTAGCAGTGGTGTTTATTTTACAGGATGGAGTTGCTAGCCTCATGCCCAACCTTTCCTCTTCACCAGCATCATTTCTGGCTTAGCGAAGTAAAGGAGTGCGTTGGCCGGGGATCGAACCCCGGACCATATATATGAAACAAGTATAGTACAAGTAGATGTGCCGGCGTGAAACATTTAATGAATACTTCGTTTATATTCAAATAAAGTTATTGCCTCAGGATAAATCGATAAGCACCGAAAAGTGTCTGTTTCTCAGGAAGCCATTTATCAGACTGTGAGCTTATCTTATCCAAGTTGCTCAAAATGAAGTAGGTGAAGGGGGATTCAGACAACAGACGTATTGAATGCCTTAACCAATGCGAGCTACATTCCTCTGATGTGTCATAAAGTAGCATTGACATAAAAAGTGGAACTTTGGCGCTGTGTTTGAGTTTAATTCTATCATAGAATAAATTTATTTGATAAAAAACCCACACAGTAGTAACACATTAATATCTATTTACTGATAACGTTTCGAAAATAATTCGTTGCTCACAATTAAAATCAAATCATTCACATCACTTTCAAACTTTGTTTATACAATTCCATTTCACTGAAAATACCCATTGAGTGAGTCATGGAGAAAATAAAAGACAGATTCAGCGAAGAAAATGCTTCTTTATCGACGAAATCATCTTCAGAGGCTGGCTGTACAGTCGTATTTATACTTACAAAAATATATAGTGGTCTATTATTAAGTAATAGGGAGTGACATAATTGATATAATTACTCAGAAGTGGCTTTAGAAGTGAAAATTAAAAGTTGTAAATTACGTGGTACTCAACGGCACAGAAGATAGAAATTTGATAAGGTTAAAATTGCTATTGAGTGAGAATAAAGGTGGTATTTGAGTGTCAATTTAACAAATGTGAAGAGGGTGTGAAAATATATAAAAGGAGCATATGAGAGTGATAATAGTGAATTAATTATTAAAGCAAAAGCAAACTAAAAGTAAGATTAAAAAATTACAAAAAAGACAAAATAAAAAAATCAAAATTTTTTTTAACAGGGAACGATTAGTGAGAAGGTTAAGACCAAGGTAAAATAAGAGACTGGACAAACATTTTTTTGTATACAGAGTTCAGGGTTGTATTGATGAATTGCCAGCGCCTCCGCGCCTCAATAATAGACCACTATGTATTTTTGTAAGTATAAATACGACTGTACAGCCAGCCTCTGAAGATGATTTCGTCGATAAAGAAGCATTTTCTTCGCTGAATCTGTCTTTTATTTTCTTCACAATTCCATTTATTTCTTATCCTTTAATTTAATTGGTAGTAATATCTCTGGTGTGCGTCGGTGGCGTAGCGGTTAGGACGCTCGCCGACCATACACATGGTCCGGCGTTCGATTCCCGGCCACCGACGCACTCCTTTACCTCGCTAAGCCAGAAATAATGCTGGTGAAGAGGAAAGGTTGGGCATGAGGCTAGCAACCCCATCCTGTAAAATAAACACTTCTACAGAAACTTCAAGCCACTAGCTTGAAGCCCTATGTTCCACTGGGGCACGTGAAGGAAAAAAATATCTCTGGTATTTGCGTTGTAGCATTCCTACTACTACATGTGTTAATTGTAGATTCGATGAACAAAGATTCAGTAATCAACCTCTCTCTCTCCACCTAACCATATTAGTTCTTAGAACTATAACTGTGTTCCATCCTATTGTGTGGGGTTGTGTGTTAATACATGCATAGTATGCATTGGTGAGTTTCTCTGAAAACTATTCACCTCAGTGGGTTGAGTTATTCTACACATAGCTAAATTCTTATCTTCCGATGATCTGACCACCCCCTTCACCCAATCTAATGATCTCTGACCTACATAGTTGACCTCACAGTCGTTGCAAACTATTTTGTAGATTAAATTATTTTGTCTAATTGGGTCAATAGTAGTAGTAGAAGTGTCCTTTATTAGCCTACAGAGCATGCCTCTGGCACAATATATAAATATGCCAGTGGAATGTGGAATGTTCAAGTGAATGGCTTATTTGCATTTAATTAAAGTGATGAGTGTGTTTCAGGGTAAATTGACAAGCAGCACTTGACTGACAAAGAGAAAATGGATTACCTTATTGATTAGGTGTTGTAGCGAATACTTCTCAAATGAAGATGTGACTCATAGGCCTAGGCACTAGACAGCAGTATTATCAGCTTTCTCACATACATGCACAGCAACAGTGTAGATCATACAAGTTCTAACTAACTAGTCAATGCTTCTTTCAACACTATTTTATCAATAACAACAACAAAAATTGATGACTTATATTTTGACTGGACACTAGTAACTAGTGTGACGTATCTAGTCCTTCTTTGGTGCAGACTGAATTCTATCAGTCAGGTATTTCCAATGTGACCACCATTCTAGGTAGCTCGCCATCACGGTACACATTGATTTGATATTAGATAGTTGGAGGCAATCGTCAGGAAGCCTTGGCTACACCTAGGTTTCGTGCTAGTTGGCACTCATCAGCAAGGCGTATCTGCAACCTTGAAGGAACTCATGTCCCTTCTGAGATTCGAACCCGCGTAACCCAGTGCTGCAGTCAGAGACGTTGCCACTGAGCTATTCGAGCTCGCGACCTCTGACTGCAGCACTGGGTGACGCGGGTTCGAATCTCAGAAGGGACATGAGTTCCTTCAAGGTTGCAGATACGCCTTGCTGATGAGTGCCAACTAGCACGAAACCTAGGTGTAGCCAAGGCTTCCTGACGATTGCCTCCAACTATCTAATAATGTCTTAAATTGTTTTATTTATTTATTTTTTTTCCTTTTATTCTCTTCTTTTAGGCATTCGCTTGTTGTGTTTCAATTGTTCTGTCATGTGCAATTTCTGTTATCTTTTTGAAAATGCAATTAACTAGTGGTTTCATTCTTGGTGCACTAGCAGTCATTATATCATCTGTTTTATATTCAATTTATCCACCAAAAGTAAATGTATCATAAAAAAGAAACTTTGCCTTATTTATTTTTTTGTTTTGTTTTGTTTTTGTATTATTTCACTTCACCTTAATGCCACCTGCTTGTCTTCCCTCTGTGTGCTATCCTCCGCCCTTTTCTCAGGTGTTATTCAGCCTTGTCTTTCATCAACTTATGCGTTAAACAATCTTCAATTTTTTCCTGTATACTATATTGTATTTGAAGTTTAATCACGAACTAAAACCACCTGCAGAACTATTGAAAACCAGGGAGTATGGAACAGTTGTTTCGTCCTAGTCTGAGACTCTTCAGAAAAATGCGCACATGACCCTGGATCACTCACCCACTGGAATGGAATTCAATAATCCATGAGTTATAACTTCTGACAATCAGTGGTTTGGAATTCATGGGCATGTACTGATGAAGAGTTACAAAGTAGGATGAAACAGTCGTTCAGTACTCTCTGGTTTCCAATTATTTATAATCAAAATTGAAATCAATGAAATCCCTGCAAACTAATGCTTAAGAATATGTTTGTCTAAAATTTGTAGCTACTTATAAGTAGTATAAAATGTTTAACTAAATTGTTTTAAGATTGAATAGTGTGAAATGCTTGGATTGATGATTCTTCTCAACAAGAATGCTTCTTCCCCTTAACCCTTTTGGTTTTTTTTCTTTCATTGCTTATTATTACAATTATTATTATTACTATTCATAATTTATTCCCTTCATGCAAACATTCTCTCAATACTATCGAAATTTTCATTTATACTATCCTGACTTATTATTAGTGATACTATCTCTTTTCTAAATATATGCCTCCACCTGTTTCATTTCACACATTCGTTATTTCATGATGAACCTCTAGTTGCAGTCTTACTATCTCCTCGTTAATACATACAACTTTGTAACAGCCACTCACCTGACACCTTCTGTAACCTTGAACTGACTTGTCAAATTTTCCTACCCCAGACTCTACAAATCTATCATGATTAAACACCACCATTGTCTCCCATTTCACCGAAATATTTTGTAATCCATTTCAGCCTAGCGCGTTTGTTACACAAATATGACTATTTATTTTGACACCTCGTAACTCATCTGTTATTCTACGTTAAGGAAAAATGTATCCGCCGCATAATTGGCCATTGTTGTAACGACAACAAATATTATATTTTATAATTGTAAGAACCTGACGAGAAATTATTGAAAAGAATATTCTTCGTTCAGATTGACTTTTATATTGTTTTCATCTGACTGTGTCTTCCGTGTGTATTTATTTATTCTATATGTGACAGCTTGTCCCTTTGTACATGATTTTGCCGCAGAATTTCATAATTTCGACTTTATTCTTATAAGGCCTAATTCTTGCGTGTACAAATTGGTTCCTGATTTTTGTACTGTTCCATTTCAGATATGTATTTATATATATTGTTATATGTAATGTCTTTTTTTATGAATAAACTTATGTTGAACTACTACTCTTTAAGTATGATAAATTTCATAGTCTCACCTCAAAATATGACGTTACAATGATACCTATAGTCCGATTCATTGTGTGCATCACTCCTATAGGACTGATTACTGACGACTATGTCTCAACACCCATAGATCCAAAAGGCTCATGTAGCGTCCACCCAATTATCCTATATCTTTCGTTGACGTGGTATCCGGTTATCGATCTCGAGATGTGTGGGTTGCGAAGGAGTTTGCTCCGCTCATTACTATGGCAATGAGATATAGTCATTGAAAGTGAAACATATAGAGTGAGTAGTCGTCTCCGACCATTGGTGTCAAACGGTATATGTGAGTAATATTGGAAATTACATCGACTGAGATGGTTAGGACATGTGATACGTATGCCTAGTCATCGCCTTCCTCGACAATGGGCAATGTTAGCTGATATAGGGCCAGGCTGGAAAAGAGCTAGCCAGTGGTGGTCAAACGAAAACATGGCTTCATCAGTCAATGAAATCTACAACAGTTAGTCTAAGCCAGTCACGTAGGAAGGTGTAGACTGGCTTCCTGACTGGTTGGGGTCCTCGGCACGGTGAAAACCAATGGTTGGAAACGATTAGTGACATGGCTCAAAATCGTTCTCAATGGCTGGCGCAGATGCATCCACTCCTTGTGACTTATGATCTCCAATGAAACTGTTTTGTTCTTCGTTATTACTATTCCTTTGTCTCACACCTTTGTTTACTGTCTATATTATGGATTTCTCATCTTACTTTGTGTGCTACATGGAGTGTGGCGACAGACATCAGTATAAACGTTTTGAGTGTCTTAAAGTTAACATAACATAATGCCACTGACTGACTGGAAACTGCTTCAACATTCCAAGGAGTGCAGTGCCTCAAAACTTTATTAACCTCATTCAATCGGGGGTTATATTATGATGATGCCACATGTCACTTGATCAGCAATGGAAAGAAAACCCAGCGAAGCCTTTCAAAGTGAACACAGGAGTAAGAAAAAGCTATCCAACTAGCATCTATGAATAAGGTGGACTGGATCATGCAATACATAGTGTGGAGTGAGAAGACAAGAATACGCTGGATCGACCGACTTGAAGATCTGAACTTTGTGAACGATTTATGTCCAAATATCACACAAATTCGAAGATCTATCTACAGGCGAAAATCAACAGACTGGCAAACAGCAAAATAGTCAGAACTTCAAGTGAACACAAGGAAGATACGAAGTAATGAAGATGTCTGACCAAGAAAACCAATCACCATCAAAGGGGGAGAAATTTGAAGGAAGTCACCTTGTTCCACTTATCTAGACAGCATCGTTTGAAATATAGACGGTCAGTACGGTTGAAGATGTCAAGCCAGCCATTGTCAGAAAGACAGAAGTAAACTTCATTAAAAATCTTAAATCAGTGGGAATCTGCTGCACTCTTCATGAAGAACATGACTTGAATTCTCAACAGTACTGTCAAGGCAGTCAGTGCTTCTATATGGATGGCTCAGAGACTTGACTCATTGCCAAAAATACTTCCAGCTGGTTACTTACTAAAGGACTAGCAATGAACCCAATAAATATGTCGAAGAAGATGGAGATTGATTGAACGTACTCTGAAAAGACTGTCGAGTGATATCACGCTCCAAGCAGACACTCGATTGGAATTCGAATGTGTAACAATGAATTAGTTGCGAGTCCCAGGGTGACATGTGGAGAAAGTGAAAGCTTACAGAAAGTTATGAAGCCAGCTAATAGCGGAATGAAGTGGAAATGCGCTGCTGAAATTCTATGTTCCATTCGGAATAATATTGTCGGAGGTCTGATAATACTGCCCAGATGTCAAGGCTGAAGTTGGGTGGAGAGGATATTCGTCACTCCATCTCGTTTTGGGACTAAACCAACTAAGCGTACTTGCTTTTTTGTTGTTGATGAGTTGTAGTGTTCCCCAATGAGACTGCCAGCTGTCAAATATCATTTCAAACACTCCACCAGCGAAAAAACGTTATCCAAATGGAAATTTCCATAAAAAAACAACAAGAGAGAAACAGTTGATAGTTTCTTTTTAATATTCTTTACTTTTTATTATGAAAAAGAAAAGACAAAAAAAAGATTGAAATGTATGAATATCTTTTGTTTTACATAATACTATTTGTTGACAAATATGCATGAGAATTATAAAATGCGAAATAAAATACTTAATAAGACTTTATTTAATAAGGTGGGCCGTGAAAGAAACGGGGAAATTAATATCTAAGTGGGAATAATAATAATAGTAATAATAAATGCAATACATTATATCTACAATTATTTGTGCTATACTTTTATTCTTCATACATAAGTACATGTGTATAAAAAGTATATGATTTTCTCTTCATTGTATTTTATTTGAAAAAAGTTATTAGAAGGGTGTATCATCTTCCCATGTTGATAATAAGCTTTCTTCTAATACAGCATTTACTGTATATCGTCTGAAAAAAATAAATAAAACGAACAACAATAAATTTTGTGAGGTTATGTATGCTACTTATGAGTAGGCAAAGTATAAACTTCAAATATTTGATAGCATGAAATAATTTTCAATGTGGGTTCAGAGAATCAAATCAGGATATTTCTAAATTCTGATGAAGAAAGAGGCTATGGAGCAGTCCGCTTAGAACTTGGGTTACCGGAAACCCCATCACTGCGCTGCATTTTTTTCTCATATTACGATATGACCTCTAGTTGTATTGTATCATGTTCTACTGACAAGGTCCATCAGTAGTATATGAAGAAAGATTCATCGGCACATAAATATCAAAGAGTGGAGAGGTGGATTTGGCGCCAAAGAGTAGAAACGAACAGGTATTGTGAAAAGGATCATGGGAGGTACGAAAAAGAAGACAGAGTACCGTAATAAGAAGGAATGGCAGAAGTAGCACCACACGGAAGATCCGTGCAAAAGACGACTTTAATATAAGGTGTACATAATTCCCCCTGTGTGTTTATATCAAATTACAAATTACAAATTTCTACTTCAATTGAGAAGAAAGCATAACCGCAGTTGGCAACAAATTCCGATGCGTAAGTGGAACTATTTTCGAATTCAAGTATTGGTTTGTAGGGATTTGGTTGATTGGTTACAGGATTTCATCATGAGATGAAATCGGTTAGAGAACCACTGGAAGACCTGGGTGTACTGGACAACTGTTTCGTCCTAGTTTTGGACTCTTCATCAGCACGCACCCACCGGGGTTTGAACCCAGCACCTTCTGGTTACAAGGCTAGCGAGCCCGTAGACCATTTATCCACTGGGACCCGATCCAATGGCCAGCCCATGAATTCTAACCTCTGCCAATTCACGATATAGCGCTACCGCTAGCCAATGACTTCGGCGAAAATTTCTCCTCACACCCAACCTGCTGCACCCTACTGGTCACGACTTCCCACTGGAACCCCAGGTAACTACCCACCTGAATAGGGCCAGTCGCCAGTGAGCATCTCATTGATATTCAAGTATTGGTTTGTAGGGATTTGGTTGATTGGTTACAGGATTTCATCATCAGCTGACATCAGTTAGAGAACCATTGGAAAACCTGGGAGTACTGAACAGCTGTTTCTTCCTACTTTGGGACTCTTCAGAATTTGAATTGTCTGAGGATTTCAAAATGTACTCTTCAACATTTTATAGTTGACTTTCAACCAAATATTGTCCATTTCGCAAAGGAGACGAAAAAGGAATATCATAATGGATTAATTTGCACTTCAGGTTACACTGCATTGTATCACATGATCTACAGTCGACTAATACTTTATTTGATTATACTGGACGAAGAGAAAATATAGTGCAAATGAACCTCGCCTAGCTTACTAGAGCTCGCCGGTTTTCTAGCTGGTCCCAAGCCTGAGTAAAGAGGGAGGGCTTGGCATGGGACTAGCGACCCATCCTAGAGAGAGTTAAGGATTCACTGGATACAGAACTCCGCCAACCACAGGAACAAGCTGGATTCAGGAAACGCAAATCATGTGCTGATCAAATTGCACCCCTACGCATCGTTATCACAGAACAAAGCATTGAACGGTAGTTAAACCTCTACTGTGACTTCGACTTCGAAAAGGCCTTCGACAGCATTGACCGAGAAGTCATTTGGAAACTTCTTCAACACTATGGCGAGCAGTGCCTAAGTCTTTATCAACCTAATTCAACAGCTATATTACAATGCTGCATGTCAGGTGATCCACACCGGGAAGCCTTTTGAGTGAATACAGGAGTAAAACAGGGCTGCTTATTACGACCGATGATATTCTTAAATGTGGTGGACTGCATTATACGTGAGACTGTTGGGGGCGAGGACTCAGGAATACGCTGAACCACCGACAAGAAGACTCTAAAAGATATAGATTTCTCAGACGATATATGTCTAGTGTCAAGAACTGGAAGACTTAAAGGCGACAATGAACAAACTTTCTGAAAAAGAAGCCAGAGAAGACAAGACTTCAGGTTATTATTATTGTATTATTATTGTTCCCTTGGGTTCCTAATGGAACATAGGGCTTCAACTGCACGTCTCCACTTGCTTCTGTCTTCTGCTGTACTTTTCACCTGCATCCATGTTATTCCATACTGTTTCAGCTCCTCTTCACCTTTGGACGTCTCACTCACCGCTTCCCTTTCGGGTTCCACTCAAGCGTTGGCCTGACGCGCGATGTCACCCAGCGAGTGGCCTCCTCACCGACTGTCCAATCCATCTCCACTTTCTCCTGCATATTTGTTGAGCGATTGCTTCTTGTTTGTTTCGTTTGTTCCTATAGTTTGTTTCTTGTTGGTGATTCTTTCCGGCCATCTGATCTTCAGTATAGAGCCAGCGAAGACAGTTAGTTGTTGATAAAGGTCTGCAACAGGCTGTTGGAAATATTCTTTGTGACCCGCCACCCAGTTTCTGATCCATCCGTATAGAAGAACTGACTGACTTGACTGACGTTTGTATTGAAAATCCGAATTTTGTTGTTGATGGTGGGTTGAGTGACAGCGGAAGATTTCCAGATTGGTTTCAGG